TGATCATTCTCAGCCGCAATCTTTCGTCTGGGGAGGGTGGTTTTACTGAGCAAAGTGCGGCTCTTTACGAAGCGTTCGGCATTAGATCCTCCATCAAAACTCTGCGTACGAGTCCTTCCGATGAGGGGGATGTGTAGAGGAGAGTTTCGATCGGCTGGACAAGTCTCTCTGGTTGTTTCGACTCCTAATGGCTTGCCGTGGCGATCATCATTGCGACATGTCTGATTCTGCGTAGTGTGAAACAACAGTCCGATTCGTCGATGAACCTCAACCTGGTGGACGAGGCTGTGGTAAATGTGGATAGTCCTTAGCGTGCATAGCACATGTACCTTTCCCTTGTGATCGGCAGAGGCTCAAAGCAACGCTGGTGCGCAATCCTAAAAGAATAATCAGCAAGGCCTGGGCCGGGTAAGATCGAGATAGCAGGCTCACAATTCCAACGGCTTCATCGACGTGACTTTGCGCCTTGCAACAAACCCGATCGAAGAGACTGCTCGTACTGTGCCACAGATCACAAACCTCCTTTGCAGCGAAAGAAAGAGTGGTATACCTTGCGACCGTCAGCGCGTCGGCTCAGATTAACTTCCCCGCTTCCCACAACGACAGAAGAGTATGCGGCCACAAGACTGGTATGTTCTGATTGCTCTCCTCGTACTCGTCGTGCCTTGCGCAGCCCACGTGAGGGATCGCGCACTGTGTCGATCAGGAAGTTGCCAAGCGTCGGGCGCGCAGTAACATCGATAAGGCGGCAACCGCGCTTTGGCACGCAACACCTCCAAAACTTTTACATTACTGATCGCGATATGAACATACCCGGATCCTTCTACAACCTGCTGACACCTTTCAAGAGAATAGAGCCCTGCAGCCGCGGTGCGTTCCTGGTCTTACTGCGACATCTGCTGGTACAGTGATACATCTCGCTGGATCGACAACACTACGGCCGAAGCTCAACGAGTGCTCATGTACGAATCGCATCGCATATCCAGATTCCATTCGTATAGACGGTAGCCGCGACTAGGCATCAGGTTCTAGATGCAGAAGAAGATCTGAAACCTCAAACATTGAACAACACGTTGTCAGCGCGCTCGGGACTGCTGAACCACGAAGCGACCTCAAAACTCAACGACATCTCGCGCGACACCACTCCTTCCACAACAACGCATTGAACGACTCCATTTCTACATAATGGCCACAGACAGCAACAGTGTTGCGATAGATCCTTCCTTGTCGATAGTCGACACCCACTCGCCTGCACTGGCTACGCGACTTCGATCAGACTCAGACCAAGCCAAGGTCATCGATCCGCAGTTGTCCCAAGCCGAACCGCTGCCACTCACATTGCAAGTAACCGACACTGCAATCGGTGGAGCTTCACCCACACTCTCGAGACAGACGAGCGATACCGCCGATACGCTGCGGCCTTTGGATGCAGTGTCACCATCCCAAGAGTCGCTCGCCTCGCCAGCACGCGAGAGATTGCCATCGATAACCCAACTTACGCAACAACTCACGACACATTCCCTCCCTGCACTGGCAGAAGCAGCTACACAACAAGAAGCTCGATCGCAGGCATATCACCATCATAGCCATTCGTACGGCTCGAATGGACCTCAATCTCCCCTCCTCAGTCATCATCAACAGTCTCCAGTAACATTTCCAGCATTCCCGAATGGATTGAACGCACGATCTCCAACTACCGCTATCAGTGATACACCATATTATCAATCACCACAAACGTATGGTCAGCCCTACGGCTTCTATGCACACCGACGGCCGTCTACTGCAGCGGATCAGCCTGCAACGGTGCCACCATCATTGCCATCAGCATCCTCGAGCGGTGATAGCATGGGACCAACAGGATCGAGTATGGATGGCTACAGTACTGCTCACACAACTCCCATCGACCCTTCACAATCGACAGATACCACACCTAGAGCTAACCCGGGCATGCTCCCACCACCCGGAGGCTTCAAATGTCCCTACGAAGGCTGCAACGCCCTGCCATTTCAGACGCAGTATCTCCTTACGTGAGTCCGCTAGGTTATGTTGAAGCAAGCGCTAACGTTGTCAGTTCACACAAGAACGTGCATAGTCAAGATCGACCGCACTACTGTCCAGTCAAAGACTGTCCTCGTGGTGAGGGCGGCAAAGGCTTCAAAAGGAAGAACGAGATGATCAGACATGGCCTGGTGCACAAGAGTCCTGGCTACGTCTGTCCTTTCTGCCCTGAAAGGGAGCACAAGTATCCACGCCCAGACAACTTGCAAAGGTACGATGAGATTGTCGTTCCTCGCGCCAACTAACATCCACAGACACGTGCGTGTGCACCATGTGGACAAAGACCGTGATGACCCTGCCTTACAAGAAGTGCTCAACCAGCGCACTGAAGGCCAAGGCAAGACGAGACGGCGACGTACAACTATGAACACCTCAGGCTCAGCTTGACACATGGATGAAGAATTGTAGATGATTGAAACTTCACCTATCTCCAGCGCCGTGCTTTGGCAGCAAATATTGAAATGATCGACAGCTTATTCAGGCACATACTCGCCACCTGAGGAGGGTTTAAGCCCCACTCACCACATCCGGGAGCATCTGCTCCGCAAAGTCGAAATTAGCCCTTCTACGCTCGTATCGACATGTTCATGACAACTCGACACGCGAGATGCCTCAATGCCTTCTCGTCGAGGCGGACGAAAATCGCATCACGGCTGTCGAAACTGCAAGACTCGTCACCTGAAGTGCGACGAGAATTTCCCGACATGTGGCCGTTGCAGGAAACGCAATGAGACCTGCGTGCCATCTCACTCTTCATTCAGAAGCGCTACTCCGAGCACACCTCAACATGCACCGATATCAGAGCTGCCATGGCCTGGCGATGTCACTGACAGTTCTCACACGATGGCTCTCGTACTGCCGGACATCTGTGATAAGCTCGTCGCAGGAGTGAGCATGGGCACGCAAGGCGACTGGCTGGATGATATGCTGCTCAAACATTACCTTGCAGTGGTGTCGTGGACGCTCAACGAAGACCATAGAGTCGTCTTGGCTTATCGACAACTTGTACCTGAGCTAGCTGACAATCACGTAAGCTTGAAGCATGCAGTCCTCACGATCTCCGGCAGCCACTGTGTGGCTACACTCTCTTCACAGCAAGATGTCGCTCCTGGTGTGGTCAAGGCACTCATAGAGCGTACTGTCCATCACCATACTTGCATGCTTAGTCTGTTTGCGGCGCAGATATCACTCCAGCCCTCACAGAGCATGTCGCACGATGACTGCATTGCCACGACCTTGACCTCGATCTTTGTGTTCACCTCTTTCCTGACTCAGATCCAACCGGCGTTTCAAGAGACTGCTCCGCCAGGCAGTCCAGGTGCAATCGACAAAGCCGTGGCTATGCTCAATCTGATGGGACCTATTTCTACATTCTTCGCGCAGTATCAAGGAGAGATCGCGGCATCGCAGCTGCACTTCTTCGAGGGCGACTACTTACCAAAGGTCGAAGATCTGCCAGTCCCGGCGGAGGCTGAGCGAGGACTTGACGCAGTCGCTGCTCTGTGTGACAAGTCTACCCATCGGGAACTATACGCTGCGGCTGTGAAGGGGCTTCGACATGCATATCGCATTGTTGCGTTGAATCCTGGTACGATAGGAGGGCGCTTTGGTTGGATCATTGGCGAGGAGGCAATCTCGATGGCGAATTGTGTATACCGGCGACTGCCAGAAGCACTCATCGTCTTGGCATACTGGGCGGCGAGTTTGATACCATGGCCTCATTGGTGGGGCACTGATTTCGCAGTGATGATTATCCTAGAGGTCGACCAGACATTGTCAGAGGAGTATGGTCATCTGCTTGAGTGGCCAAGAAGCCGTCTGCTGTACCGATAGTTGTAGTAAGCTAGAATAGACTTATTGTGTCATGCCGTCAGGTCCAATGCCATCATATAGGCAGTTCTCAGTGTGGCACTGAGCAGCATCTAAGAGCTTCCTACCGTTATACTGAGCATCGTCATGGATTCGAAGATGTATCAGCACCTCACCACTGTCGAAGCCGTGCTCTGATGCTCAAGCGAAGATATCGTTGTAGATTTCGTTCGCTGTACTCTCTCAATGCTTCACTGTACGCAAACTCAAGACAAATGTCGACTATTCTTTGAGTAGCAGGGTATAGGGATGCTCGCGCCCATCGAAGGCTCGGCGGCGATAGACGATTCGGAGGGTTGAGCTTCGATGCGAACGAGCTTGACCCTCCCTCTGCTGTTCAGATGATGAAGTCAACGGGTCGACATCGAACACGAGAGGGTTGAGCTCGCACGCTGTTCCGCCTTGGCAGTTGTGTCGCTCAGTGTTCTTGTATCAGTCTGTTGGCAGTCGTGTATCTGCATTATCACCGATGTTGTTGCGAGGACAAAGCCATCATGGTCAGATTCCGTTCTCATGAGTCGCCAGATCGTGGCACGACGAGCACAGAAGACATTCCTCATCTATATATCCTCAGTATGCCATATGTACTGTACCGACCATGCCTGGGTGCGGTCCGATCAATATCAACGTCGTGCTGGTTCATGGCTGTACCGTACTCATCTAGTTGCATATCGTCCACGCATCATGCCATAGACAACTGTTGATAGCGATAGGGAGTGATGTTATGGCCTCGTACGGTGCACTGAATGGTAGATCAAGTCGTTGGCTCGTAGAGCATTGCCGAACTTGTCGAAAATGGTGGTTGGTCACTGTGGCGTAAAAGTCCAGACGAGAAATTCTGAAAAGCTCGAGGTGGTGTTGCTCAACAACTAAGCCGTATACCTGCATGAAAACCTCTGTAGACATGTCGAGGGATGCTATATCACCACCCTCGTCGTATAATCGCTCGTTTGGCCGGCTCGTCATTGCGCAACAAGACGGGATGACCTTAGACACTTTGAACCCTACACTGACCAAAAAATGGATTTACTAGACAAATATAATATACCAAATCGTAGCTCTCCCATCAATGGGCAGCTTTAGCTCACTTGGGAGAGCGCCAGACTGAAGTTACTCGGTCTAGGACCATTTCAAGCTGTTGGTATGGTCCACGCATTCTGTGCGGTATCTGGAGGTACTGTGTTCGATCCACAGAAGCTGCATGCTTTTTTTGCCTCCTGCATGTATCTGAGTCTCACCAGTGGCATCAGAGGCCTCACGACGAGAGATAGAAGGCATTTCTGAGGATCTGCTCATTTTTGCGCATTTGGGCTCAATGCCAAGCTCGCAAGCCATTTTTGGCAATTCCGAGGCCACCAGGAGATTCCGCTTGGTCTAGTTGACCTTGGCTGAGAGTGTGGGGCCATCATTGGCCGTGTTGGTTGAAAACAACGAGATTCATATTCGTGTACAGTGGCGCATATCGGCTGTTCAAGCGAACGCTACGAGCAACTTGTGGCCTGACGGATAGCACAAACGCATACTCTGGAGTCAATTACACCTCCTACAGTGAAGAGAACATCATCAATGGTGGTTATCGCTAGTTGTAAGGCAATGGAAGAAGCCAGACGACTTTCAAGATACCCTCCACCTGCCAGCATGTCGAGACCTATGTTCGGCTGTGACACATGGCTTAACAATGGTTCAGCTACCTATGCTGAATGCTAGATGGCTCTAACAGAATGAGATACGACATCTACCCAAGATCGACTGAGCGTACGTCGTCGAACATGATGTGAAGCATCAAAGCGTGCTAGCAAGCGTTTCAGAACCACTGCACAGCGCAACACACCGCGACACTCGCTCTAACCCATTCTACAAGCTCAGCTCCGTCACACTGCTCGTGTCATTCAGCTCGGCAGAAGTGCAGGCATAGAGCTGATATAACATTGTCCTCATCCTGATATCACGGCCCGAGGCCCGAGCCTTGCGCTAACCCAGCGCTCCAAAGCTCAACGTCTCTCTAACAATTTTTCTTCCTCCAACTTCTTCGCACGACAAATCGCAATCGAAGCATTCAACAGACCGCGTCATGCGATCTATCACACACAGCTTTGGGAGAAAGTCCCCGGACGTCCTTTCACAGGAATGCTGAAAAGCGCCGCCTTAGAAGCACAGTGGCTCATCTTTGCTCTACCTCCAGACACCATGCTGCTTGCACCACCGCTCGCACTCCTTCCACGATACCTTGATGCTCAGGCACTGTGTCGGAGATCACGCCTTTGGCAGGACGATGATATGAGTCTGATCATTTGACGTAGGCGTCTGCTGCTAATAGATTGGTTGAAAGGAGGAGGTGATGCAAGAGAGGCATGGACAAGCTGGGTTCAGGTAAGGCAATGAGCTTTCGTCGGGATACATAGTCATGCGGTTGTGCAGCTCGTCGATTGACCCTTCACTCGATCTGTCAGTTGGCGAGTTGTGCTACTCGATGGGGCTTATTCTTGTTGCGAAGAGTTCACCTTTTAGGATCCGCCGGGTGGTTTGCCATGCCTCAGTCGTGTCGAAGCGACCGGATTCCATCACACCAAGCGAGTGTTCAACATGATGACACCAAGCAAATAGAGTCAAGCACTGAAGTTGGCCTCCATGTCGTTCCTTCACTGGAACGTTCATGTGCCTCGAATTGATGCTACATTTGCCTACGACGGTATCTGATACACACTATCGCTTGCGATCATATCGATGCACCAGCTATATCACTCAGAGTGGTTGCGCCTGCACACATATCTAGTCTTGATCAGCACCGTATGGAAGAATCATATCCAACCACATCGGTCCCAGCTTGCCTTTCACGGCAGTAGTGTGTGTTGTACCAGCCCGAATGGCTGTGTTGAATGATGGTAGCAATGGCTTTGCGACTCGAGTGACCTTTGGAGGCGATAATGGTCCAGCCAGCAATGCCCTAGGTGCTTTGTTGTCCCTATCAAGTCTGTCCGATATCGAACGACGCAGTCTATTGCTGCCATATCTTGGTATCACGCTGCTTGGCCCTGAACTCGTGGTACTGATTGTGAAGGACATATTACGAAGGTAGCTTGTGGAAGCTGATACAAATCTAAACAACTACTGGGATGTAGCCAACACGACTCACCATGTCGGAAGTGATGAAGATGTGAATGCCGCCAGACTTGATGTGTGTACTCGAGGCTTGGCCTCACGACTGCCCAAACTGAACTCCAGTGTTGCTCGCGGAGATGCTTGGGAGCTTCAGATGGCAGCTGATGTATCGTTGTCTCTTTGCAAAACTGCTCAGGGATCTAGGTTGTTGACTGTTTTGTTGCCGTCTCCTGGTGCTATCGGAGGTGCGGGTGGAGTTGTGCCTCCTTGTGCATCTTGACTCCGACTCTTCCTTATTGCCATCTTCTGCTGCAGCTTCGAGAGTACACTCTGGTATTCCGGCTCCTCGACACGTTCGAGGGCCTTGATCAAGTCTGCTGTCATGGCACCGATCAAGAGTGCAGAGAGAGCAGCGTCCTGAGGATTGACCGTCCTACTGTCGGGCTGGAACGGCGCACCTTTGGCACCAGTGCGATTGTCCATCAGTCCTATGATGATCAGTATCGAAATAGACAAAATCGAAGGTGGCCAAGCTTACCGTCAACCTCGGCGAATGCTTCGCTGATCTCCTCTGGTATTGGAGCGGCTCGCCCAGCGTCTCTCAGAGCGATCGTCAGCGGACCCATGAGCTTCGGTGGAACGATCAGGTCCTCATATCGGAAGTAGTCCACAGTTGGATTTGGGTGCACCGCGCGGTAGTCCTCCAATAGTCTGGCATGGAGCTGTACTGGCCAGTCTTCGGACCGATCAGCGACGAGGTGAGCACTGCTCCACTCCTTGCATGTGGCGCCAACCGTGGAGACGTAGAATGAATACGCCCGCTTCCCTTCGCTTGCATCACGGATTCCACGTTCACCTCGCCATGGTCCATTTCCCAACGATGCCTGGTCGATCGGTGGAGCAAGGAAATCTGCATTGTTGGTGATGTCGTTGCTGAGGATGTCAGTCAACTTGCAGTACAGCAACAATCCCTCAAAGGGAAGAAGTAGCGAGATCTTGGTCTTGTCGGCGTTGAAGGCTTTGTCACGCATATCGATCTCCCAGCGATACATGGTTGCTTCTTGATCGAAGTGGGTGTAACCGTAGACTTCAGGCTCTGGTACGCGAAGCTCTAGTTCGCTTTGATTGCTGTGATGGGATCGTCAGATACGGGTTTGATCTTGTTGCTGCTGCACTCACGCTCCCCACAACAAGTTGCCATAGTAAGCAGCTCTGCGTGCTCGCTCTCGGGGTGGGGCCTCGATGAAGAGCTCTCTACCTCTCGGACACCAGTCTACCTCTGCGAAGACGATTCTCTTCGTATCCTCGTGGCTTGTTCCCATCGTGTGCTTCATCTTGCCAACTGCCTCCGGGTGGCGAGCGAAGTAGTCATTCATGCTGAGAACGATCAAGGTGCCAGTGGAAATTGGATGAAAATTGTCTGCGTCGAGTCTCTCCTTCTGAGGCAGAGTGTAACGATCGCTGAGACGCTCCTTCAGATCTGAGAAGTCCTCAGATGCGTCGAGCTGCGGCAAGATTTCGAAGTCCGCGCCCGTCATCCATACCATGAGTTGCGCTTCGCGTTCAGTCAGTCGCGGGTTCTGAACTTGCTTCGCGTTGTCCGTGGATAGCGCCATCGTAGCGGCGAAGCTTAGGTCGACAGAACTTGAGCTGATAGTGCTGAGAGTAAGCTTATAACAGGTCTCCAATATGGCGATAGAGGCCAAGCACGATAACCTTGCCTGATCATTAGTAACTTGCTTTGACCGATGCCTTGAGACTTGCCAAGACTGTTGGGACTATCGTTGTCCCTGTGGTGATGGTGCAAGCTGCGTCTTGAACCACAGTTGCTATATCACAAGATTACTGTAAGTCAGAGAGTGTGCGTGAAGTGCAGAGAGGTTAAGGGAGAGTGTGCGCAAAATGCAGAGGGGTCGAGGGAGGTTGTTCGCCAGTGACTCGCGATGTGGCGTGGTCAGACACAGTCAATAGCTGACGCAATTTGTGTCTAGGTCCTTTAGGCATCTCTTCCGACTATTAAGCACTTCTCACTCCTGTCTATCCTCCATACCCAACTGCATCGAATCAGCACCTGCCCTGTATGGCTCCAAGAGCAAAGAAAAGCCAAGACCAGTGCACAACCATTAAGCAGAGACGCTATCCAAGCGTTGAGAGAACCGAAGCTTCGGAGGCTTTCAGAAACCATCGCCATCGTATCGTCGAATGCTTCCAAGGTGAAGGAAGAGTACTCGTTGAAGTCAGAGAGGCATGAGTCCATTTTGTACGACGTAAGCACAGACAATCAGGAATGCAAACTATTGACAAAGAAAGAACGTGAACGAAAGCTCTGGGCAAATATGGATAGCCTCGCCACGTGCAGCACACCTGCGAGAACGTCCTTACCGTTGCATCATACGAGTCAACCCAGGCGGAGCGTCGTATTCAGCAGCAGACCAAGTCGTGGACTTCACCACAATATATCATCGAAAGGGACCTCACCTCGTCAAGCGTAATGTCGAGCGCATCGCATGTATTATGGACTCGTCTTTGACAACAGTCGACCTGGTTGTCATTCTCTCTTGCGTTCCTGCTGTTTGTGCTTGAGACGAGTACGACCCTCATCTGCGATTGCCAGTACTGCGTAGTTGGTACAACGACATTGGCTCTTCTTGATATTGCCGTATCTCGACTGGAAGGAATTGCTGCTCAGGCCTGGTCTCGTCACAGCAGCATTGATCACGGATCGCCATTTGATGGATCAACCAAGATCGCGCTCAGAGAAGCGAGGCCGTGAAGAAGTGCGAAGAAGGGTTCGAAATGATCCAGGCTGAAGCTGAGCTTTGGGCGACATAGATGCCGGGGCATGATAATGTATCGTAAAAATGGTTCATACTGCTCAGTAGGCGATGTCTATCGTATGTTGTGGTAAAGAGAAGAAAGATTTGTGGTGAAGTGATGTGTGGTGGAGAGTCCTGCACCAAAGTGGGATACCTTCCTTATTACAGGGCATTCCCTCCTTCACCTTTATGCCATATCGACTCGATATAGCCACACACTGTGCTTACCCATACTGGTCGTGGTGCTACAGGTAGTCTTGTTGTTGCATAGCTCATACTGCAATGCT